TAGCGGTTCGAAAGCACATCAAAGTGCAAGTAGATAAATAGGTACCACTCTGGCGGGAGGGTAAATGGCGTTTCCGTGCGCTGCTCTGGTTTGCCAGAAGCGGCTTAGTCATGCTGGCCACATGACCCGGAAGCTGTACGCCGGCTCCCTCGGCCAATAAAGCGAAATGAGCGCCACAACCCCTGAGTCGGTCACGACTGGACCTAATGGTCAGGGGTCCCTTTACCTTTACCGACCCAAGGGGGAATCCTAAAGGGCATGCATTTGGGCCTTCAGGTGTACGCCAGTGGGGAATGTTGCGGGAGTGTGGGAGGCTGGTCTGGATCACTCAACCCCCCCGATGTGCATGTGAGAGTTTTGCCTTAGCCTTCTTGTGAAGTGAGCTCTGCCCATGTCATCTCCATACAGACCCAAATGCACATTTTCTCATCCTAGAGAAAACATGGCTACAGAGATGTCAGATTGTCTCACTGAGGGTGTGTGTGTGTGTTTGAGTTGCTGTTTTTTAAAGAAAGGCTCGCCTGTAAATTGCCATGCCAAATTTAATTATTGCATCTGAAGCAGATTTTTTATTATTATTAATTTGAATTGGAATTGCAAGACCTCTGGCTTTTCCATAGGGCAATGTGGGGCAGAAAAAGAACCTGCCACCCGGTGAAGTTGCATAAACTCTCTGGCCATCCATTTGGAAATATCTCCTTCTGTCTCTACCAAGTCAACAAAGGTTGTACAGCTGAGCATTTATTTATTTATTTTTGCTGGTTCCCAGATTCCTCCTGCAGCCTAAAATTAAGCCACAGACAGATTGTTTGGGAGAATCGAAATGGGGGAGAAAGTCCCATATGCTGTGGGGGGAAACTGGATCCGAGCCAAAAAATTAATAGAAACAGTTTAGACGCTGCCTTGTTACCATCCCTAATTAATATTTATACGCCAGTTCCAGAGAGATTGTTGTTTATTTAACAGCATCTCTGCAGTTCTTAATACAGCTGTGTTCTTGCGGAAGGTTCACTTAGCATAGCTTTTAAAAACCCCACACAACTCTGTTTATGATACTGAATTGTTTTAAATGAGATTTGAAAACAAAAAGCTAAGGTGGCTTTGTACACATCCTCAACATGTTGCGCACACCATTATTGTTGCAATTCTAACCCCGCCGCCCCCGGTGTGAGGCTCCTGCTATAGAAAGAAAATGCTCATTTGAAGCTGTTGTCGCATGTTGCCACGGTAACATGCTCTTATGCACTGCCCCGGTGCCTAGGCAAAGACACCCTATATAACAGCTCTTGATCCCATGATTTGTGCATCCAGAAACATGGGCAAGTCATAGCAGACAAAAGAAAATACTAATGAACACAGGTAGAGGTAGAGGTAAAGGACCCCTGGATGGTTAAGTCCAGTCAAAGGCGACTATGGGGTTGTGGCGCTCATTTCGCTTTCAGGCCAAGGGAGCCAACGTTTGCCCTCAGACAGCTTTCCGGGTCATGTGGTCAGCATGACTAAACTGCTTCTGGCGCAACAGAACACCATGACTGTTATGTATTGGGTTTAACACATTTTATGTTACAAGGCACGTTCTAACCAATTGTAGAAGTGTAGGTAGACGAACGTTCTAATGGCAAGTAAGCGCATGCTCTTTCAACTGTCAACAGTCAGTTCATGCTTGTGATTACTATTGTGTTGTCCACTCAGTTTGGTTCTTGAGCTGTTGTCACTGACAAATGTTGAATAAACTTAGTTGAGGAACTTATACTGCCTTGGGCTTCTGACTTTTTCCAAACATTTAACAGTGACGGAAACCAAAGCGCATGGAAACGCCGTTTCCCTTCCCGCCGCAGCGGTACCTATTTATCTACTTGCACTGGTGTGCTTTTGAACTGCTAAGTTGGCAGGAGCTGGGACAGAGCAACGGGAGCTCACCCCATTGCGGGGATTCGAACCGCCAGCCTTCTCATCGGCAAGCCCAAGAGGCATTCGCTCCCACAGCAGGCAGTGATGGCCCCCAGCCTGGATGGCTTTAAAAGAGCATAAGACAAATTCATGGAGGTGAGGTCTGTGGGTAGCTACCAACCCTCAAGTTCTACCTCCACTGGCAGAGGCAGCATGTCTTTGAATATCAGTTGCTGGAAACCACAGGAGGGAAGAATCCTGCTTGCAGGCATCCCTTGGGCATTTGATTGGCCACTGGAAGAACAAGATGCTGAGCTAGATGGGTCACTCCAAGTTCAGTTCACCATATCAGTTTGATATATATATATATATATACAGCCTTAGAAAATTCATCAACATGCTAGTGAGACTTTCTCCTGCTAACACACATTTGCATATGCTATTTTACCTAGCACACAGCTTTCCTTGATGTAATGCATTTTTCCCCGTAACAAAAAACTTTACCCTGATACAGTGGTACCTCGGGTTAAGTACTTAATTCGTTCCAGAGGTCCATTCTTAACCTGAAACTGTTCTTAACCTGAAGCACCACTTTAGCTAATGGGGCCTCCTGCTGCCACCGCGCCGATGGAGCACAATTTCTGTTCTCATCCTGAAGCAAAGTTCTTAACCTGAAGCACTCTTTCTGAGTTAGTGGAGTCTGTAACCTGAACCGTATGTAACCTGAAGCATATGTAACCCGAGGTAACACTGTATTCCACAATTTTCGTACATGCCTGGAGACCTGCGTTGTGAAATTGACCAATGTTCTGAATCAATACAAGGAAGCTTTTAATGGTGCCATTTGGACCATTAACTAGGCTACCACCATTAAAATGTTCAACCTTTCCTCCACAATCAATATTTGTGTTTAATTTCCAAAAACAATAAGCATCTTCTCTATAGCACGTTGTCTGCTGGGCTTTAATCCACTTGTTCAGAGACATGTTAGCTGAGCCAAAGTTCTGTTTCAAATCAATTAGGCCAGAGGTGGAAAAACTTTTGCTTCTCAGCTGTTGCTATATGACAGCTTCCTTCATCCATGATCATTGGTCATGCAGGCTGGAGCTGATGCGAGTTGGAGACCAGGACCACCTTGAGGGTCACAGACTGTCAATCCCTGATTTAGGCTTAAGTTCATCGTGATGAATATTCCCCCTTGTTTTCAGCAGGACCTCAACTTGACTAACTTTCTCTGGATCTGACCCTTTAAACTTTTCCAAATCAGATTCCCTACCCCTTGCCTGAGCATTTTCTCATTTGTCTAAGTCTTCAGGGAGGCACTGCGCTCATAATAAAACATAGTATTTCAATTATTGACTCAGCAGTGCTGTGGAGAGCAAAATAATTATCTTGCTTGGTTTATATGCACCATACCCATCTTCCTCATCTTTCTTGTCACTGGCCTAGAATGCAGTATCTAAAATCCATGTAACATTTGTTCCAGTTCACATTAAGGCATAATTACTTTCTGAATCAATTGCAACCCATTATTTATGAAAACTCCAAACTTACTTATGCTGGAGTTCTTCTCTGGTGCAATGCAACAGGTATCAGAAGTATACCCCTTCACCTTCCTTCTTCCATAATCCAGCCTGCCTTCTGAACTCAACCTAATTCAGCCTCTACAGTAGGCATAGGCAAACTCAGCCCTCCAGATGTTTTGGGAATCCCATCATCCCTGGTCCTGTTAGCTAGGGGTGATGGGAGTTGTAGTTCCAAAACATCTGGAGGGCCGAGTTTGCCTATGCCTGCTCTACAGGAATAAACCATAGTTCTGTTGCTGAGATTGAAAGGTAAGAATTCTTGAGTCCTCCAAACCCAAAACACATCTCTTTCCTTGATTCTTATGTCCCATCATAGTCTCTCAAAAAACTTCTTGATGTCATAATTCACAACCCAAGGACCTTAAAGAGCATGGTAAATATCAGGAACTGGTTGGACACAGAAGAATAATGGGAGGAACCAGCTGAGAAACCCCCCAGGGTAGAAGACTCAGAGCCCAAGGACTGGTGGTGGGATGGCGATGAGTGGTCAGAGGGGAAAGAGAGAGAAGATGGAGAGGAGGTGTCAGAAGCTGAAGAGATAACAGGCAGGAGTCTGTGTCATAAAAGAATCCTTATGCATTCAGTGTATTAGTACAAAAAGATTGACAGTGGTTGTTCTCTGTGATCTCTGTTGTTGTGGTTGCAACCTACAGGAAACAAATGTTCCTGACACCTCACTCCTTGTGAAACGGCACCAAGGCCAACCAATGGTCTCTCCATTCTGGATTCCCTGATCTAGGCTTCCACGACTTGCTAAACACTATTTACCTGCCACATATGGAAGTCTGCTAGCCATTCCATAAGCCCTGGATTGTATGAACAGTGGGGTTATGAAGTGTCCAGAAGTCCACAAGGCATGGCTGGTGAGGGAAATGTGCCCTGCTTAGTGGGTCTCAAGTAGGACAAATCTGCATAACAAAACAATAGCAATTCTACTTAAAGTCCTTAGTAAGATTCTATATCAGAAAGTCCTTTACAATTATGTGGATTCTATATCAGAAAGTCCTTTACTATAAATGTTTCATTTCTCCTGCTACTTGTACAGAGCATTCCTCTGCCAAAAGGAACATTGTCTGTAGACGGTTGCTTCATCTAGCTCAGTATTATCAATGATGGATGCAGCTCTCTGGTGTCTCTGACTGGAGGCACCCCCAGCCCTATCTGGAGGTGTCAGGGATTGAACCGGGAACCTTTTGCATGCAGGACACATCACCTACCACTGAGCTATGGGTCTTCCCAGTGGCACAAAGCAGAGACCGCCTCTCATATCACCTGCTATCCAATCTTTTCAACTAGAGATTATTGGGAACATAGGAAGCTACCTTAGACCAAGTCAACCCCTTGGTCCATCTAGTTCAGTATGGTCAACATCAACTGGCTGTGACTCTCTGGGATTTCAGATATGGGACAGTCCCAGCCCAACGTAGAGATGTTGTGGACTATTACATGTGTTCTATTACAAAGCTATGGATCCTCTCCAAGGAGGTCCTCCTGCTCACCCTTCCCCAACTATGTCAACTGATTTGTCTCGATAGCTCAGATGGTTAGAGCATGGGACTCTTAATCTTCAGGGTTGTGGGTTCGAGCCCCACATTGGGTAAAGGATTTCTGCAATGCAGGGGGTTGGAGCTTTGTGGTCCCTTCCAACTCTACAATTATGTGGTTCTGTCTTGGCATGATGCACCTATGTCTTACCTGTACGAGCAAGCCTATCAGTACATCACAAAATATCACCTTGATGCAAGAAACCCTTTGATGATCTCCATTGTACATTTCTGCCGCTGCCATCAGTCTGCCTCAAGGAAAAATTAGTTGTCTTCCGTGCTCTTCCAGGAAGAACGCATTTTAAGTTCTGAAAGGTTTCCTGGCACATCCATTTACTCTTCTTCCCCTCCCTCTACTACCATCATCTCCCTTCCATGGGGAGGAAGGGATGACAACATACCATAGGCATGAAGAGGCATGTCAAAAACTCGCATTAAGAATTAAAAATGAATCAGACCTGCTTAGTCAATAAGCAGATCCACGAAACATTACAGTGATATAGTACCTTGCCTACTGGGTAAGCTCAACTGCCCCTCAGGTATTTATCCTCATAAATTTTCAGTGGGCTGGTTAAAAATTAATAATGGTACTTCTTTCCACTTTGCTTTTTGACTGCACTGTAGGCCTCGGTGCACTTTTGAGACAGGAGGCAGAGCTGGATTTTCTGAATAACAAAATCTAAGCCCACATTCTGTAGGACGAGATGCAAACTCTTCAGGGATATAGCCTGAATAGGGCAGGCCACAACTAGCTGAACAGGTTCACTCGTATCCATGGATCTTATCTAGAAATCCTTCTCCTAATTTTTCTTGTCCATCTCAGTCATGGCTCCTCCTCTCTCTCACTCAGCAAGAGCCTGCCTTTGAGGCTCAGAGGTTTGGCCTCCTCTGCCCCTCAATATTGGGGGGGGGGGAGGCTGAGGCCCCTGCTAAAGAATATTGAGGGGGCAGGTGACACCTCCACCCCCTGGAGTTGGCGTACCTCTTAGTAGCCACAGTTATTTCAAACTGTGTTTTAATGCTCTAAAGATTAAAGGTAAAGGACCCCTGAACAGTTAAGTCTAGTCAAAGGTGACTATGGGGTTGCGGTACTCATCTCGCTTTCAGTCCAAGAGAGCCAGCATTTGTCCGCAGAGTTTTCCCTGTCATGTGGCCAGCATGACTAAACCACTTCTGGCACAACAGGATACCGTGATGGAAACCAGAGTGCACAGAAACGCTGTTTATCTTTCCGCCACAATGGTACCTATTTATCTATTTGCACTGGCGTGCTTTCAAACTGCTAGGTTGGCAAGAACTGGGACAGAGCAACAGGAGCAAACCCCGTTGTGGGGATTCGAACCACCAACCTTCTGATCGGCAAGCCCACATCCAGCAGACATGCTCTATGAGGAACTGGCTTCCAGCACCAGGCCAATTGGCAGACCAACTCATGTTGATGGAGTGTGCATGAAATGAACACACACACACACACACACACACACAGTGGTACCTCGGGTTAAGAACTTAATTTGTTCTGGAGGTCCGTTCTTAACCTGAAACTGTTCTTAACCTGACGTACCACTTTAGCTAATGGGGCCTCCCGCTGCCACCGTTGGCAATGGCACACGATTTCTGTTCTCATCCTGTAGCAAAGTTCTTAACCCGAGCTACTATTTCTGTGTTAGCGGAGTCTGTAACCTGAAGCGTCTGTAACCTGAAGCATCTGTAACCCAAGGTTATATATAATAACAGGCTCAATGGTTTAGACCACAGCGCTACCTACTTTACTTTTTTTACCTTTTAATCCACCCTGAGACCTTAGGGTGAAGGGTGGCACTACAGATTTTGGCACTGCAAAAAAACTGGCTTTGCAATGAGATGTGGCAGCAGACAACAAATATGGACAAAAGATATTTGCATCCTTTTCCTAGACTTCGAAGATGTCGTGCAGGGTGGGATCAGGTCATCACTATTAGTAAATCACAGAAGCACATCCATCTGGATGCATCCATTTCCTTATTTCCTTATTGTGCATTTCCATATGCACAAGCCCCACATCCCCCCCCCAAAAAAAAACCCCACTTGGGAGTAACCATGCAGGTGACTTGGGTGCTCTCTATCACATCTTCGGTATCACATGTGAAGCAGCTGCGGATGACTGCAGCTCAAAGTGTGCTTTTCCATAAGCAACATCTCCTCAGATGAAAACGGCAATAAAGATAATGTATACCAATTGCCTTTTAAGGGAGCAAATAAATGTCTGTTAAATAAACTCTATAGCATAAAAAAAGAATATTTGTTATCAACAGCTGGCAGACAACATGTACGCTCATGCTTGCAAATATACATTGCATTCCGAAGGCTCATTTGCACAGCTTATTTCTAATTTTTAATTTGCAAAAGCTGTTGATATTTCCAGTACCTCATTAGCATAGACTATATGCTCTGTAAATTATACAGGCTGTGCTACAGAGAAAAGAAATTGTTCAAGGACATTCTAGAGGGATGCCGGCATATAAACAGATATTAAGCATCAAGGCATCTGAATGCCAGCCTCAGTCTCCACCAGCCAACCTATCTTCTGCTGCACTGCGATTAGGAAAACTTTGAAAAATCTACAACTCTCAGGGTCAGGGGAGAATGCATGAGAACCTTACATCACTAAAGTACACAGGAAGGTTTTGAAAGCATGCGATTCCTAACCACCACCCAAAATCCACCCTAATCTGTATTATAGTTGCAGCAATGGTCTCCCAAACTGAGATCTGGGGAGGGGCAAGTTTGCAAGCCCTCCAAATCCTCTCCAGCTTGGATTAAAATCTGAGATGGAAAATTATTTTCAGTTTCTCGCTTGGCGATTCCTACCTACCCACTCCAATTGCTCCATAGCTACGTGTCGTGGTCTTTCCTAAGGATGTGCAAATCTGACAGTTTCAGGTCCACTCAGTTTCTCAGTTTCTCCAATCTCAAATTTTCCACATCTTTTTATGGTTATTTTTTAAGTTCCCATGAAATTTCACCAGCATTTTAGCGTAACCTCTCCTATAATACACTTTGCAATTTTGCCAAATACTACATCTTTTAAAAAAAACAAAACCATGTGTGTTTTTTGTATGTTGTTTTCATGAATATATGCATTTTCATGCACACTCTGTCCCAGGATATGCTTTTTTTTTTTTGGTACACATTACTTTAGGGAAAAAATTCAGGTATTTAGAATATGTATGCTTCATCTCTCAACATAGCTGTCAACATTTCCCTTTTTGTAAGGGAAATTCCCTTATTCCGAATAGGATTCCTTGCAAGGAAAGGGAAAAGTTGACAGCTATGCCTCTCAATCGAGTGATTCTCAAGGCAGCTTACAAACAGGTAATAATAATATCAATAAAAGGCAAACTCATGGTAGTCCCCACCCCCAATAATCCTCTGGTTGATGAGTAAAGACAGAGCATGCTTGTTCTACAGTCCAAGCTGCACATTTTTCCTGATTTCCTCCTAGCAGAGGTGGGGAACATTTTTCAGCCTAGGGGGCCACATTCTCTTGTGCTCAACCTTCTGAGGGCCAGTGGTGGATGTGGTGAGAGGAACAATGGACACAGTTCTTCCCTTCTGTCAGGCATATTCCAGCCACGCAAGAGCCAGAGGTTTCTAAACACACGTAAACACTCCTCACCACTCAGCCAAGGAAGAGAGGCATGATTGCTGTCAAACGACATATTTGGCCCAGGCAAGAACACCCAAGGAGGCTTTGGAGAAGAGCTGGTGACAGGGGGCATCCTGTTAACATTACTTGATTGTTGTTGTTGTTTAGTCGTTTAGTCATGTCCGACTCTTCATGACCCCCTGGACCAGAGCACGCCAGGCACTCCTGTCTTCCACTGCCTCCCACAGTTTGGTCAAACTCATGCTGGTAGCTTTGAGAACATTGTCCAACCATCTCGTCCTCTTTCGTCCCCTTCTCCTTGTGCCCTCAATCTTTCCCACCATCAGGGTCTTTTCCAGGGAGTCTTCTCATGAGGTGGCCAACGTATTGGAGCCTCAGCTTCACGATCTGTCCTTCCATTGAGCACTCAGGGCTGATTTCCTTCAGAATGGAGAGGTTTGATCTTCTTGCAGTCCATGGGACTCTCAAGAGTCTCCCCCAGCACCATAATTCAAAAGCATTGATTCTTCGGCGACCAGCTTCTTTATGGTCCAGCTCTCACTTCCATACTTGATTAGATACCTCTTTTGCAAAATTCGGAGGAGTGCGAATTTCAAAGGCTCACATATTTTTGCAGGTCCCTTACTGTTATGTGGGTCCACCATTAATGAAATCAAATATCTCCTTCCACCCTTGTCTCTCCTTAAGGAATTCTTCGACCTACACCGGAATGGTTCTGGTAGTAGGTAGCATTAACAGGGAGTTTGCTTCCAAGTAAGTTCTTAAGTCTTGAGATGAGGTTGCACTTATTTTTATAAAAAAAAAAAAAACCCTGAGCTTTTTATAATATAACCTGAGTGGTTGTGGGAGCAGCTAAGCCTTGTGGTAGGATATGAAAGACAGGAGCTTACTAACATCTTCCCTGAGTCTGTACAGACCCCACTTCTCTGCTGTTTTACATTTTTGTTTGCTGTAGTAAAAAAAAAATTAAAAATCATCCTGTGATCTCATTTGAGCAGAATGCATTTTGTTCATTGGAGAAAGTCCAAAAGCAGGAGACCAACATTGCTGATAAGCTTCAAACTGCCTTAGAGATTAAGAACATCTCAAATGTCAGGCTGTGAAGTTTGGGATTTGACCCCTTGTAGAAGCTATAAAAACAACCCACTGCTTGAAACATGGGTGGAGAACCTCAGATCCATGGGTCAAATGCAGCCCTAAAATTCTCACTGACTGGCCCCAGGCCACATGCCACACCAGCTCAGGCCTCCACCACAGGTACACAGCATGCCCAGAAGTTTGCTCATGAGGAAAAGTGACTCGCATAGAATCATAGAATTGTAGAGTTGGAAAGGATCCTGAGGTGACCCTAGTCCAACGCCCTGCAATGCAGGAAACACCCCTGAGCACTGGTCCTGCTAGCTAGGGATGA